GGTCGGTCGGTCGGTCGGTCGGTAAGTAGGCCGGCAAGTGAGGGTATCTCTACATGTTCGCAAATGTGCATTTATGTACGTATGCATGCATGAGAGCATGGACGGATTTGTGAGCAAGCGCGTACGTAGATGTGCATGCAGGCATGACCGTGTGACTGTCTGTCGGTCTGTCGGTCTGTCTTTCTCTTTGTCTCTCTCTCTCTCTCTCTCGCCGTCTGTCCGTCCGGCTGCTTACCTAGCATGCATGTACTTCGTCTTCATCGGGGTCTATCTGCCCTCAAGTCTTTCTGTGAACGCGTAAGAAGGGCGCGCATCTGCACTTGCGCGATTGAGCATAGCATTTGATTTGTGATGTCAGGCACTTCGTGACACTTCCGGCTCCTTTGGGGTTCCTTTGGGGTTCATTCTGGGCTTAGGGTTTAGGCTACTCCCCAAACCCAACGACACCGTGGCTCGGACTCCAGATGGCATCGCCGAGACGTCGGGGATAATGTCCTGCTCTCGAATACTACAGGAGCATGCGGGCTTCACAAATACAGAGGCTCTTGCGTGACGAAACCTCTGTGGAAAACGGAGCATCGCGCGCACACACATATTGCGAAAGCCATCTGCTATCAAAAGTGCGAAAGGCATGCCACCTGCGTGATTAGATGTGTTTTGAGCTTGTGGTTGTGGGAGCAGGCGCAGCTCAACATGCGACCACCGGCGTGCTGTCCGTTATTGTGCAGCAGATCAATCCATCTGCCAATTGTGCGACGTGACGGCGGTAGCCGCAGATCCTGAACCTTCATGCCTCACCCCTCAACTCTGAACTCCACATCAACGAGCTGCAAGATCATGCAGCATTCACCACCGTGTGCCTGCAACAAACCTTCTCATACCTCATGGTCGTCCCGAAATTTACAGAAAGCAAAACGCTTGACGTCAACCCCAAAAATCTCCGAACGAGACAGATCTAAGACCCTAAGCCATAAACCCTAGATTCCTAGATCCCAAACCCTGAACCCGCCAAACCCTAAACCTCCACGGCGCGCTGTAAGCCCTAGACCCACGACTCTCAAACGAAACACACACACATACACATATATATATATATATATATAGATGTTAAACCGCAGGTCCAAGTCTTCGAACATGGCGCGGAACCCGCAACCGTACAAAGTATGTGAAAAGCCTGGCATTACAGGGTACAAGGGTTCAGGCTTTTGGGTGGAAGCCCCAAGTAGTCGCTCTTTGGATCACAGGTGGACCTAGCTGAAAATCTCCGAATTTCCGGCGATGTCCTGCAGAGTGAGGGCTCGCATTTCATTGGCAGGTCCTGGGAACCATGGTCGGGTGCTGAACTAGGGCTTAGGGTTCAGGGTCTAGTACAATCTTCAAGGTTTCTATCTTGAGGTTGTGTGAAACTCGCTCAATCTCTTTGTCTCATACTCGCGCCATCGCTGCTTTGTGAAAGCCGAAAACAGTTGATTTTCTTCCTTCCAGATGTCGTCCGAAACAAGCGCATGCGTTTCAGTGTGCATGTGCCCAAACTTTTTCACATGTTAGATTCGGTGCAAGGTTGGGGGGCTGCAGGCCGGTGTCTAGGGGCCCTGGACGGAGGCGGTTATTTTTGCACACTACTATTATACTATGTTCCATGATATAGTATGGTATACTACAATCTACTATGTGGACACGGCTTCTCACTCTGAAAGCTTGTGATCGTCACGGTCCCACGAAGAGATCGCTCTGGATGATCGTGCTACCTCTGGGTCTAACACCTGGACTTTCCGTAGGCCCCAAAACTAGATCCGATAGTGTCCTTGGGCCCTAAACCCTAAACCCAAATCCTAAACCCGGTAGTGTCCTTAGGGTGCGGGTTTAGAACGCAAGGACTGAGCTCTTCACATCTTCAAGGCTTTGCAGTTGGCTGCTGGGCTTCTGGGTTTGATTTCAACACCTTCTGTCACCACATGGCGCACGATAGTATATACGGTAGGATCATAGCATACTGTAGAAAAGCATAGATTCGAATATGTTATAGTGTTATAGTATACTACGAACCCCCATCGAAATCTGACTGCCGGGCTTTACAGGAAGCAACAGTTGACTTCCTAACCGGGGGATGCGTCCCACTGGAGGCTTCTGAGGGTTTGTGGTCCAGGGCTAATATAGGGGCCTTACCAATTAGAATAGGGTTCAAGGCACAGTATACTATATTTATATTGAAGAGTCCCCAAAACCCTATTCTGATTCTTAAGGCCCTACATTAGGTCTTTTATCCGTTTCAACACATCTAAAGTATACGGCTTACTGTGGCAAAATCGCACATAAGGACCACTGTGCAGCTATATGTGAAGGCTTGAGGTTTTAGTTTCACACCGGTGCCGGTCTACCCAGAAATGCTGGGATCGAAGCCGGCATGGCTGAAGTAGATTGTATCCTGGCATTTGCCAAAGGCAAGGGTCTTCTTTCAGTGAAGTCCTCCTAGCCTCTCATTGGAGGAGGCCCCGAAATAAAGTTTCTGTTCTGGTGTTTGGGCCGATAAAATCGATGACGCAAGGTTTAGGTTTGGGTGTGGGCATTTGGGTTTAGGCTATTGCACAGTTCAGGCTTAAGGACAGTGTAGAAACTCGCATACCTCGCAGTTTAGCTAAGGCTAAGGTTTAGGGATATTCTGGGATTTCGGGCTGAGGGGGGTTAAACTCGTCCAGAGCCCTGAACTCGATCAATTTCCAAATCGCCCACCCCAACCCCACACTTCAAAGGCACGTCCACGACAGCGAGCATCCCGATGCAAACGACGACGTCTACCAAAACCATCTCGCCTGCTGCTACTATCTAGTATGCTGCTACTCCTGCTAAAGACGGCGACGACGACGACGAGTCCTTTTCCGTTCATTACTACTACTACTACTACTACCACTACTACTACTACTACTACTACGACGACGACGACGACGACTACTACTACTACTATTTCTTCGACTACTACTACTACTACTACTACTACTACTACAGTACTACTACGACGACGACGACTTCTACAACTACTGCCCGCTCGACTGCTACTACGAGTACGACATCTACGGCTGAAGCTACTAAGACCACTGTCACTGGTACTCCCACGTTTTTGCTCCAAGCACGCCTCTCCCTTCTGCTGCCAGTGCAAAGCGCCCGACCTTCAACCCAACCCAAAAGGCTATAATGCCTAAACTGTGAACACCAAAACACTAGCCCCAAGGCCGAGAATAATAAATGCCAGTGCCGCGAAGTCGGAGAAGTCTGGCTGGGCTCCTTTGAGAAAGCAGGCGTTTTAGATCTTTCCCGGTCTGGGGCGTAAAGGACTCAAACAAGGTGGGGGTTCGGGGAGGTTTATGCTATTGCTTAGGGTTGAGGGGCTTGGCTAGGTGTCTGTCGTGGGGGGCAGCGGCTTTCAAGGATTCTTTGCACAAAACACCACTGAAGTGTAGCCTGGGTTGTTTAAGGGATTTTGTCGACCCAGCCGTGGCGGTCCTGCAAAGTGCACCCACAGCAGCACCAGGAACCACGATCGCATGATGCGGATCATGTGCTGAACTGTGGTGATGCAAGGCCACGTGAGTCACAGGCAACATGCTTCATAAAAGGCATGGGCTGGCTCAAGTTGCCCGGCATTGTGCCGCCAACGTGCCTCAAAAGGTAAACTACAACCACGAGTATAAAGGATTTGATCCAGAGGCCGTTCTGGAAACTCCCAGAACCCCATAGAATCTAGCGATGGGATGCGGATACCCGCTTGCTGACGAAAGCCTATGCTGAATGCTGCCTGAGCCTGAAGCGTGCAAGACCAGAAACACGTCGACATAAAGAAGGGAAAGTTCACGGTCGGAACAGCCAGGACAGCGGTCCTGGTCAGGCAAGGGTTAGATTTCGAAGGATGCTGCCCAACCTGTGACACCAATCTGCTGCTATTGTTGTTGCTAATGCTGTTGCTGTTGCTGTTGCTGTTGCTGTTGCTGTTGCTGTTGCTGTGGCTGTGGCTGTGGCTGTGGCTGTGGCTGTGGCTGTGGCTGTGGCTGTGGCTGTGGCTGTTGCTGCTGGTGGTGATGGCGGTGGTGGTGGGGGTGGCGGTGGCGGCGGGGATTAAAGCTGTTATAAGAAGTCTAACTAAAACTATGTATACTAGTCATTTTGGTTATTGTTTACTTAGTGTTAGTTCAAAGTCACTGAGAACTGGTTTTTCCAAAGCTAGCGTCTTCGGTATAGGGTTAGGCTATAGGGTTTAGCTGCATCGCTTTCCGAATCCTCGCAGGAACACCGATACATGGGACTATCGTTGCGAATTATCCGGCAGCTACTTGGCAATTAAATGGCCTTGGAAGGAGCAGCGTACTGAAAGGGCCTCTGGACATGTGCAAAAACCCTCATCCCTGAACTCACGAACGCAAAGTTGACTCAGTCTTCGTGCCGTTACCCCAGTGGAGGCCTTGACTAGACAAGGGTGTGTGGGGGGGGGGGGCACAACTATATACGGGCTATAGCGCAGGGGTACTATCTATATGTATATACATATTGGGTGTATGTATGCATGTATGTACGTATTGTGTAGGCCAATGTACGGATGTAGCGCGAAATCTATATTATCCATACATGCAGGCTAATTCTTTAACAACTTTGCTTGTACGCCTCAAATCAAGCCTCCTTGCCCATCTGAGGATCCGCGCAAGGGCTTCGGTAGTGGAGCCCTGAAAGCTCATTTGCGTTTATGTTGGTGGTTCGCGCGATTGGCTTTTCTAGGGTTTAGGGTTTAGGCCCTAGGAGGGTCATGGTGTCTGAGTACGGAGGTATTGCTAGCGCCTGAGGGGTGCTCGTGTGCTGCTATCTACAGGGTTGCGCGGTATTTGTTCGGCAGGCATGGGCCTTTAATGGCTTGGAAAGCATGATCATTGGCACAATCGCACTGCTACAGTGGCAATGTATTCCGCATGTTGGTGGTGTTTGATGGGGGAACTAAACATTTGCGCGATGCATAGGCGAGCTCTCACTTGCAAAAACTTCCATGGTTTCAGGTCTGTGGGGATCTGCTTGATTTTGTACCTTGTTGTGTGTGGGCTTATGGCTTTTGTTTGGGTCGAGGATCAGTGCTTTCAACACGGACAGGCTCGTAGTGTCCTTCTAGCATCAGACCCCAGCTTCCAAATGCTTCGGGACAGCATGTTCTCTAGGGGGTGGCTGACTGACGGTACCCTGTTTTGCATCAGGGCTTGTGCAATCGCCTGAATGTCTGAGCCTACTGTTGACGGTACCCGTTTTAAGCACAGACTTGCAGTGTATGCCGGCAGCGAAGCTCGAGGGCAGAGCCTTCCTCAGTCACCCTAAACCGTAAACGGCTCCAGGCTGCTGCTTCAGGGTTTTTGGCACATTATGCATAAGGCTCTCCTAACTTAAAATTGCTTCAATAGGCTAGGAATTAGGGTTTATAAGCTTAGGTTCGGATGCAGGCAAGTATAGGCAAGCACAAAGATGCGGAGTTCGGATCAAGCTTCAGCTTTCGGATTTACGGCATAGGCTTTGATCTCGAAGTGCCGATCCTGAACCATACCTAAACCCGCAAAAGTACGCTTAAAAGAACCATGGCCCAAAACCGCTATTGTTCTACATACTTTTGGGGGTCCAGGTAAACCCTAAACCCCTATAGACCCCTAAACCCTAAACCCTAAACCCCTAAACCCTAAACCCCTATAAACCCCAACTTCATGAGGCCTCCTCCCGCAGCTTCTCCAAACCCACGCTTCCGCACAAGGCCGCCAACGCGGCGGCCTGCCGTCCGTGTGTGGGGGGTCTTAAACCCTAAACCCTAAACCCTAAGAAGCACCGAACACGCGGTTCGGGTTTCGGGTTTAGCGGTGTTCGGGCTTTAGGGCTTCCACTCCGCAACTCGCAGAAGGGAGGCAAGGATCCTCCCAGGTCTGGGAAAGACCAGACTCCAGCCAAGGACGAGTGCCCAGGGACCAACAACTCAGACACAAACCCAAAAGGTAACAAAGAAATCAAGACCCATGACCCAAACAACCAATGCTGAGCACAGACAGGACATCCTGTCAGCAACTGCGAACAACATGGCATGACCCAACAACCCAGCCCAACCAGTCCAAACTAGACCATTCAACCGAAAACGAAAACCAACGACACCTCACTCACCGGAAGTTAAAAGGTTTAAGGATTTTGGGTTTGAGGTTCGGGATATTTACGGTTTCTGGTAGCGCTTGATGGGCTCCGAAGCCGGCTAAGAAGCGGGCGCACATCAATGGGTTTAGGGTCTACCTACAGTCTCCATTGTAGTTCCTTTTTTTGGTTTAACCAATTATATATTAAGGATTTTATAAGGTATCCCCAAAAAGGAACTACAATGGACAATGGAGACTATAGGTAGGGTTGAGGGTTAGGTTTTTGTTTGTTCCCCCTCGCATGGCTGAGGGGTTAAGGGCTTAGGGTTTAGCAATAAGCTTCGTGTGTCGTTTGTGGCCACTAGCTGCCGGCACGCGGAAATGTTAATAAACAAATAATACAAAGGGATAGTTATCTATCTAACTATCTATGCATTTGTTCGTTTAACTTGTGCGAACCTATATTCATACTATATACAAATTTATGGTCTCTGTACTGCAATTATAAGTTGCAGTTACAATCATTTACTCACTTCTACACATAGTGCTTGAGCTCTTGGGCCCTTGTATTGGCTACACAGATGCAGGCAAGAGATCGAAACGCATTTGATCCGTGGGTTGCTTTGCAAGTCCAGATTCATTGGCAGGAGAAACGGTAGCACTGCACAAGCATGCTATCACGAACCCAGATCCAAGACCCTAAAACCGAAGGCCCGAACCACAAATCCAAAACCGAAACCCAAAAAGCCCGAAGGCCATTCTCCCGGAGTCGTGGTGGTTCTCGGAAGCGGCGGATTCTGACGCGTTTGGACTCACTGGTGCTCACTGGGGTGCATGAGAGGAGAGTGTCTCCATCCGGTGCAACGAGGACGCGTGCTTGTGCTGCTTCACCTGCTTGATATACTCCTGACGGGAAATGCGAGGTAGGTTACACAGCCTCTCCATTGAAATCTGCAGCGTCAGGCCTGAAATGCAGTCATGCCCTAAACCCTCTCTCTCTCTCTCTCTCTTTCTATATATATATATATATATATTTGTATATATATATATACTTGTATATATATATATAATACTTCTTTGAAGAAACAAAAAACCTATGAGCAGGAGAGGTCCTTGACTTCCATCTTGGCCGTAGTGCGAATCTTCTTTGCTTCCTGAAGGGTAAAGAGACCAACTCTGCAAGATACGGTTTGTGTCGGGTCCCTCGGGTGCAGGTGTATGATGAATGGTTCATACTGTAGGATCTGAGGCTTGCTTTGGGGTTTAGGGTTGAGGCCCCCACTAAAATCCTAAATCCTAAGTTCTAAATCCTAAATCCTAAATTCTAAATCCTAAATCCTAAACGCTGAGGCTCTTCGAAGACTGACTCTGCATTCTGTCGAACCTCCGAGGCATCCGAAGCCTGCAGTTCGAACTGAACCCCAACAATCCAAACGCGAGAAAGGCGAGTGTCTATAGCGGTTTATGATGAAGGTGTACAGGGTTGCATCGGGTTTCGCATGGACGTACACGCGTCAGGACTTCGCAGCATGGTACTTGCATGTAGCTTTCCCTTTTGATTCCCCTTGAATAGGGCTTAAGGCTTGAGGCTTAGAGATTCAAGGATCTACTCTTAATTAGGGGGTCTGGGGGTTCAGGAGTTCGGCCGTTGAGCTCGGAATTCATGTTAAGAGGGCTGGGGGTCCATGGGTTCAGCGACCAAAGCTCCTCCACTGCTGCCGCGGAGGAGAGAACGTTCACGCCCGCCTCGCGCGGATGACTTTGAGTGTGGTACTTGGTGCCCGGTAGCCCCAAAACCATGGCCACGGATCGGGTGCCTGGGGCCTACCTGGACCTCAAACGTACGTAAAACAATAGCTTTTTTTATGGGCTTAAGGCCTGTATTTTCCCCAACTGTTGCGGGTTTAGGTAGGTGTATCAAGCACAACAGATACCTTGTAGTTAATTACCCAGCCTTTTCTGGGAACTACCGGGTCTCAATGCCTAGGAGGGGTGTTTTGGGGCATATATTACTTCTGTCATAGATTCATATACATATACAGCATCATCATAATAAGGAGCTCTGGGGAATTGTGTTGGTAATCGTTCCGACTTCTATTTTATTTCCATGCCCGGACTCTTGGAACACCTTCGAAATGCATCAGCCCATACATAAATCCGAAACCCAACATGTGGGTAGTCCTGTATATTGGGGTCCCTTTCTAGTTCCCAAACATTGTACGTCACCCCCATTAAAAAGGTCCCGAAGACGGACCCTCGTTCAGAAAAACCAACCATATGCAAGCCTCATCGAGGGTTGAGGGTTGGGGGCTTGGGGTTTAGCCTAAACCCTAGACTAGAAGCCCAACTGACCCCAGGCCTGAACCCTACCCCCTCCTGCACAACCTACAAGCCCAATAAACCCCAAAACCTGCCCACAACCCACCGTATCGAGTCTGGAACCTCAACCCTCAACCCTAAACCCTAAACCCTAAACCCGGAAGTCCAGGCCCTCGACCTCAAAACAAAAAGTCGATGTCATGCCTTGCTCAAGACATCCTTGGTCGGACCAACCTGCGCCGCTGCTCGAAGAAACAAGTTCAAGGCTGTAGCTTCATAGCATTTACGCTTGAAACATACCGCTTCTTTTTAGATTTTTAAGATCTAAGCTATTTTTGAACCTTAGGAGAATAGGGTTTCATGTTACTTGGATATATTGCTAGATCTTTCTTGTTGTGAACTGAGAGAAATTCCTTGGCTAAGGGCGGGTGCGGAGGCCAAAGTTGTAAGCCTTCCCCGGCTGAAATAGGATTCAGGATGGGGATGTGGATGGAAGGCCGGAAGCCCTGAGCCCTAAATCCTAAGCCCTACAAGCTCCCACAAGACTACCCCAAAATCTGACAACGCCAAAGCAAACCAGAACCTCTAAACCTTATGCCCCCAAGCCCTATAAGCTGAAAGCAGCTGAGGGCATTGGGAGTCGAAAGAGCCGTTTAGAGCAAAGCGAGACTTACCCATAGGCCCCATAGTGGTTCCTTCTTGGGATTACCTTATAGGATTCTAAATTCTAAACATGAACCCCAAAAAGGAACTACTATGGGGCCTATGGGTAGGCCCTCCAAGGCCTAAGTTGAAACAAAACAAGGCGCCTACGCTTGGAGGATCCTAGCTTTCGGGAAGCAGGGCGGGTCCCTTACAGAAGCGGTTCTACCCAAAATGCCCGTAATTTTGAGAAAGGCTTCTAAACCACTATACCCTCGACTATACTACCCTAAATGCAAAGTTACTTGGAGATACACTATTGACAGCCTATACCCAGAGACTACATGTTGGAGAGATCCGTAGCACCATTTCGGTTTATACCTGAATCAAACGTGTTGTCAAACGTTTTCACGTCTTTAGTGCCCCAAGCCCCCCCGCCCCTCTCCAAAAACAATCAATCTCCGAATATACCTTCAATGAACCCTGAAACCGATAAGCAACCCATAGAAATTCGGAGTTTTTCGGTCGGGGTCCCTAGACCCTTATGCCACTGAGGCATCTGATTGAAAAAGGGTTGTGACATGGCCGGCCTCACCCTCGGACAGGGGCCTGCACGCATCCTGGTTTCAGAATTTACAGGGATCCTTCAAGACACGTTTAAGGATTGCTGGATGGAAGCTATGAGAGCTCGGCGGGAGTTTCGACTCACACACTCGCACGAGGCTGGCATGGCATGCAGTGTCCGAGCTTGCGGTTTCGGGTTTGGGGCTCAGGTCGTGCTTGTCCACATTAAGGGAGGGGAATGACAATGAATCAGCGGCTTACGAAGTACTTTATGAGGAGAAGATACATTCTATTACGTGTTATTGAGATAGATGAACTTCCCCATCTCGTGGAAACTTCCATGACAGCGAGAGCGAAAGGGAGAAAGAGAGAGAGTCCCACCTGAGAGGCCTAAAGTTGAAAGGGCCCAACAAAAACCGAAGCAACAAACAGAAATGCCCAGAAACACTTGACCTCGGCGCTAAATCCCTCCACCTCAAAGCCCCCTAAATCCTAAACCATCACCCTAAACCCGATCCCCTCTCAGCCAGGCAACCTCGATCACCGAGACTCGAAAGCCGAGCTCTGCGCCATGCAAAGCAGACGACTTCACCTGATCTAAAGGTACAGGCTTAGGATCTAGTTGTTCGGGCTCATGAACAGCTTCCGTAGAGGGTTTATGCACTATAAGCTGCTATGAGGGTCTTGATGCGGGGTTAGGGTGTTGGATTTCGGCTTTGGGGTTTAGCGCGCGGGGGCTCTGGAGAAAGTGGTGTCGTTTCTGTTGCGTTTACGGTGTGGCAGGGTTTGGAGCGAAACAGACGGGATGATAGAGGCTTGATAGAATTTGCGGAGAAGGAGGGATGGGGGAGAGGGTGCAGTTTGGGCGGCCTGCGAACATGCTAAGTCATTAGGGCCACAGTCGGGGTGGCCCCCTAGTAACTTGAAACTTGAAAGCCACAATCTAAAAAAACAACCTAAGAAGCCCGACGACCCTCCAGGAACGATCGCATATTCGGAAGATGATACCCCATCAAAGTTGACGGATGATATACCCTAAACCCTGGGCTATAGGCTCAGAATGGGCTCAGGGCCGCTACCTTAGCGCTGCTGAGCTCGCTTCTTATACTACGGGCGCTTGAACTGCTT